AATCCCGTACAGGCCTGAAATTTTTTTCAGGTCTGATTTTCACTATTGCTCAAATAGTGCTTTACTGCGAAGGATCGTTCTCATATACGTCTCATAACCGCAGTTCACACATATGTTTCATATGTTTGTTGTTGTTTGATTTATCATCTACGGGTTTATATCGAATTAATTTGATGGCCTGCTCCCAGTTGGCTTGTTAGCTCAATTGGTAGAGCGCTGCACTAGTATCGCAGAGGTCAGTGGTTCGAGTCCCGTACAGGCCTGAAATTTTTTTCAGGTCTGATTTTCACTATTGCTCAAATAGTGCTTTACTGCGAAGGATCGTTCTCATATACGTCTCATAACCGCAGTTCACACATATGTTTCATATGTTTGTTGTTGTTTGATTTATCATCTACGGGTTTATATCGAATTAATTTGATGGCCTGCTCCCAGTTGGCTTGTTAGCTCAATTGGTAGAGCGCTGCACTAGTATCGCAGAGGTCAGTGGTTCGAATCCCGTACAGGCCTGAAACTTTTTTCAGGTCTAATTTTCACTATTGCTCAAATAGTGCTTTACTGCGAAGGATCGTGCACATATACGTTTCATAACCGCAGTTCATACATATGTTTCATATGTTTGTTGTTGTTTGATTATATAACAGAGTTCATTACAAATAAATTCAAACATTCCAAGTTAGTTTCGACATTTGTTTGAAAGTATGCAAGAAGTTTTCCTCAAAAATTGTAAAATATTGTACATATAGCTAGCAAAATTTATAACAACAATAAGAGTTAAACACACGTTTTGCGAAATCGCGCGCTGTTAAAGGCAATATTCATTTAAATGCAAACTTTAAGGAAATATAATGTTCGAGGAACTCAATAGAGCTTGCTTAGATCAACTGCAACGAAATGTAATCGTTTTGAAATGTCTTGAATCACGGGAAAATACGGTTGCTCAACCAATACCCTTTTACCTCCTTGTGTAGTAAACTTTACATTCGTCAAATTATGATTTGATACAAAATTTGTTGTTTACCCATCTTATAAACAAAATGGTAATAAATCGCCACTTACCATGATGAAGAACTCGGATTTTTACTATAATACAACCGGACTTTCCGAAAAATAGAGTTCTTCCACCGAACAAGAAATGCTGTTGCTTGGAAACGAATGAAACAAAGTCCCGTATTGGAAAATGGTGAATACCGCTGAAAAGCGTGAACGCAGGTTTCGTCATGCAGTCCAGCAGTCGAGCGGGCAGTACATCACTAGGGAGTGCCAAGCAAGGCACTCGGAAGTAAATAAATTGCATGGAAATAGATTTAAACTTTGGTGACAACTCGAACAAATTGCAAGACGGAAACAAATTAACTTAATTAGGGTTTTTGGTACACTTACAAATTCAGGATTTCTCTTTTGCGATGGACGTCGTTCATTCCTCCTTTTTCTTTTCTCCATTATGCTTTTCTTTCATCATTTCTGTATTATCTTAGGAGTATAGTTCGGTAGATGGTTACCCGCCTCGATTTAAGTCCGCTATCCGCCGGTCAGCGGAATTTAAAGTGAGAAAGATAAAATGTTGCTGTCAATGTTGTTGTTGAAAATTGATTAGATTCTTCCCATCAACTATGTTCCCATCAAGTTTTCTTTAAGACCGAATTATACAGAGGCTACCGTGATCATGCATCAGCTTTGTGGCCAGTCGTTATCTTGTTCAAAATTTTGATATAAAAATAGAAGAAAAATTACTCTTCGCCAAAGAGTATTGAATCTCGGTTCAATCATCGTTTGTTCCTTTTGCCAGATTGCGTGACAAATTGAAAGCCCTGTAGTCACGGGACCAGCACGCAGTTTCGCACAGTTCGAAGAACTTTTCAGTTTTAGTTACAGCCATGTTTGTGTCAAAGTTTTGTGCGATTTTTCTAGTATTGGAGGCGACGTTTTTCACTTCAAACGTCTGCGCATTAAGCGAAAGCGTCAAATTGGCAAGTGCTTTTCGTTTTGCCAACATATATGGCGACCACATGGTTCTACAGATGAAACCTTTCAGTCCATTGGTATGGGGATTCGGTGAAATAGGACAAACAGTCGATGTCACGTTGGGAGATGAAGTTCAAAAGACGGAAGTAGTGAAAGGTGAGAAAACTAGATTTCCTGGTTACAGCTGAGGGTAAAGTGTTCTGTTGTAGATTAGAATGGAAGTTTCGTACATGATGAGAGACCTCCATGATGAAGGAGAAAGACTGGTTCGGAAGGAAGCTGATGAAGTGTACCAGAGGGAGACAGATACAACCTCCAATCTATCCCTAATTGAGAAGTATCTGTATTAGTAAGGTTTTCATAAGAAAAGGTTCGAATGTTAGTTTTTTGGTTCAAAGTTTAGTTATGTATACCAACTTTTTATTCAGTTGCTACTGAGAATCAGTTACGCTGTCTCATGAGGAATTCCACAGCATATGATCAAGATTATGGGCCTGATTACATGAGCCGAGCTGGCCCGGTTAGCCGGGCTGATTTCTTTTGTTTTCACGCTTTGGCGAACACCAAAACAAAAGAAATCAGCCCGGCTAACCGGGCCAGCCCGGGTCATGTAATCAGGCCCTATGACGGCTACTTGGATTGTTGTACTGTTGTGTTTTTTAAATCGTTTAACTTCCTTGAGTAATTATTCAGGAGTAATCAACCAGAAGTAATTAACATACAACTTCTCCCTCTCATATCTGCACATTATTCAGCAAAGAGGTAATAGGAATATTCAAACTTATCAGGTAGAAGTTTTTATCTTGATCTAACACCAAATTCTCATTGTTTATTTACAAGAAAATTTGTAGCAGCTAGAGGGGAGAAATACATGTAACAGTCAGTGGTGTTATTGTATAATTATATATATAGATGGACTTGATTTTAACAAGTTTTGGGGATGAAATTTTGGGATTTTTTATCAGGATTTGCTCCGATGGTGAAGGAAGGGGAGGATGTGTGCAGAGTTCATGTTTCCTTGTTTCCTTAAATTTCTCCCTAATTTTCATTGCTGAATTTTGCAGTCAATGACCAATTCTAATAAAAAAGATGTTGAAATTGCTACAATGAGTGCTGCCTTTTATTCTATCTCTCTTTTCTTATTTACCTGTTTATTTTAAAGGTCCTGAAGGATCAGGGGTATGGAAGGTGACTTTAGATTCTCATGGTGCCGGTGGACCCTATAACATTACTGCTACTTCAAAAGTGGACAATGTCAAAAAGACAATAACTTTGCAGGATGTTTTGTTTGGTGATGTTTGGGTGTGTAGTGGACAGAGCAACATGCAATTTACAGTATCTCAGGTTAGTTTTTTTTGTACTAAAACATTACTTGCTCTTCATTATCTGGTTAGCTGGCCCAGAAAATCCTCAGATTCATCTGACATCATCTATAATTTTAGGCAAGGTGTAATTCTCTTTAAATAATTTTTAGGCAATCAATGCTTCAGAGGCATTCAAAGAGGCAGACAATTACCCAGAAGTCAGATTATTTACTGCAAGTCTTATTCAATCTACAACACCTTTGTATGAGCTAAAAGAAGTTGAACAGACATGGAGTGTTGCTTCTTCCAGTAAGGCATCCATTTTTATTTTGATAATGATGCTTTAGACAGTACCACAATCAATAACAATAACATTATTTAACAATTATTCACTAATGTGCTATTTTATCTCATTGGCTGCCAGAGGTGAAAAGTACTTGGTATTCACTTCCAAACTGGCCAATCAGCATGTGCCAAAAGCACTGTATTCACTTGTGTAGTATACACTAAATTTTGTTATAGCAGCCATATCAAAAATGGTGTAAAATGAAAGCTTAAAGTAATACAGCCAGTCCACTTCTCTAGAAGCTATACCCACATTGACTTTTAAATTGCTATATTATTTTTCTTCTCTCTAAGAAACTGTCAATGGAGGTACATGGAAATATTTCTCAGCTGTCTGTTGGTTTTATGGCAAGAACCTTTATGACCAGTTTAAAAGACCATTAGGTCTAGTTGCCACAGACTGGGGAGGTACGCCAGTGGAAGCTTGGTCTTCACCAGATGCCTTGCACAAATGCAACATAACTGGCAACAAAGTAGAGAATGTGTAAGTACATTGGGAACTTGGTTGTGTTAAAGAATCTCTGCTAGAATTAATTGTGCATGCTGAAACAAGATGATGATATTATTCAAAATGGCAAGAGACCAAATCCGGAAAAGTACCAGGCTATGGTCCTTGGCAGAACAGGAGATAAGCTACTCCTTAAATCAGGTAAAATTGATATCAGAACTGCAGAAAAGACTAACCTCTTGGGAATTGTACTCAATAGTAAGCTTAAATTTGACGATCAAGTTTCGAGTATTTGCCGCAAAGTGAGTGCTCAAATAAACGTGCTTAATAGACTGAAAAATATTTTACCACTTAAAACCAAGGAATTGTTATATTGTTCGTTCATACTACTGAATTTTTATTACTGCAACCAAGTTTGGCACCATTGCGGAAAAAGAAACACTGCAAAAATCGAAAATGTCAATGAAAGAGCATTGAGATATGTCTATAATGATAAACATGCATCTTATCAGCATCTCTTGGAAAGGATAAGACTACCCTCCATGGAATCTCGAAGAATTCAAGACATGTTACTGACAATACATAACAGCATATCGAACAAAGCACCACGGGCAATTAGGAGTGTTATTAACTTACGCTCATTTACTGAAGGCGCCAAGAATATGTTTTATCTGTACCTAAAGTTAACACTACCAAATACGGACTCAAGTCATAGAGATATTTTGCAGCCAAAAATGGAATGAACTCTCAAATGACATTAGAATAAAAGTGGGCACCAAAGAAATAGTAAACAGAAAAAGATCGGTAAATTTCGGGGATTAGTAGATTTGTAACGTTAGTTTTAATAGCATTTTGATTGCTGCGGTAATATTGTAATAACAGTTTTAAATAGCTTTTAATCAGTATTTAATTTGTGATTTTACCCACTGTGATATTAGCGGTGTTAGTTGTTAGGTTTTCATTAGGCATTAGGTGGAACACCTGTAAACTAGCTCTCAAGCCTAAGCGTATTGCCACGTTAAATAAAGTATGTATGTAGGTATGTATGTATACTTAAATAACAGTTTTACATAGTACAAAGAGTACACAATTCATTACCTTTCTTGGATGAGGATTTCCCTGCATTCTTAAACATATTATCTGGTGCAAGCAGCCTTGACAAACTTAACTTCTGACTAAGTTCTTTTCAAACTTTAATACAGCAAGAGTTTGTAACCCAAGGTTTGGCACAGGCTGATGGGAACAGTAGCACTTAGGGCATTCTGAGTAGATTTTTTATGGGGTGTTAAGGTGTATGATGTGCTTGCTGGTGTGGTTAGCTATTCCCTAAGTGTACAGGTGGGTGAAAGATGTGGGGAATAAGGGTGGTGAGGTTGGGGAAAAATTGACGTTTTACGCTTCAGGAAAGGTAAGATAGGCCAGTAAGCGGGAGGTAATGTTATTGGAAGCAAGGAGTTTACTAACCTAGCATTCTTCAGTCACTTTTTTACAAATCACATTGGCCTTTTGTTTTTTTAGATACTTGTTCCAAGAAGAAAAGTCATTCAAAGGGCCCCAATCACACTCTGTGTTGTACAATGCGATGATTCACCCATTTCTTAATATGACCATATATGGGGCAATTTGGTATCAAGGTGAAGCCAATGCTGGAGCTCCATATAATTACAACTGCACTTTCCCTGCAATGATTGACGACTGGCGGTCCAAATGGTACTATGGAACTGACAAACTCACAGATCCTGAATTTCCTTTTGGATTTGTTCAAGTAAGTGATGAAAACAGTTTTTGGATAAATGTCAGTCTTTGAGGAACTGCGCTCACCTACCCCTCCCCTAACTTAACATTAACCCCAACTTGTTATAAGTTGAATTTTGTTAGGCTAGGGGAGGGTGGGTGAGCAGTTGCTTAGATACTGAAATTTATCTCCATTTAAGCTTGAATGTTGTTATCGAGGGATCATTTGCAGGGTTTGAAAATATGATTTTTTTAAACTCCCAGTTGTCAGCGAATGGAAATGACTCAACCATTGCAGATGGATTTCCTGTCATTCGATGGGCTCAAACTGCCAATTATGGTTACGTTCCAAATCTCAGGGAGACTAACGTATTCATGGCTGTGGCAATGGATTTGGGAAACGCCTCGTCACCATATGGCAGTATCCACCCAAATGATAAGCAAGACGTTGGATACCGCCTTGCACTTGCTGGACGAGCAGTTGCCTACGGAGATCTGGATGTGTACTATTCTGGGCCAATTGTATCTGATGTTATAATTACTGCAAAGTCTAACACAACATGGATTGCCACGGTAAAATATCATCACGAAAGTGTGGGTTTAGGAGGAATTGAATTGCGATCTGATCACGGATTCGAGGTAACGTGGCAAATCTATTTCACGAAGTTGTACAGTAATATGATGATAATTTTTTTTTACATACCAGCTACAAATACAATTTATCATTTTAATAAGTTGACAACGCCCCAAACCATGTGTTTCTTTGCTTGATTGCCAAGTACGTTCTGATAATTTGCCTATATGTCTAACTGATAGCTACATTATTTTTCCATAGTTCTACTGCACGTTGCATGACCATTCCCAAATCACTCAGGCCAAGATTGTCTCAAGTGACTTCAGTGCAGTGCACTTAGCTGGTGTCTGCCCCCTTGAGATGTCCGCGAAAGGAATACGATACGCTTGGTACACAAAGCCTTGTAATTTTAAAAAGTGTGCTGTCTATAGCAAGGAAAATGATCTACCTGGACCTCCTTTCACGTGGAATGCACCTGTTAATTAAAGGATCACTTTTCAAGAAAGTGCCCCCCCTCATCAAGTAGATATAGTCGGCATCGAAACCAGGAAAATGCAGTTGACATATTTTAATGCTGATAGAATTGAAACAATTTCTTTGATGTCATGTTAAAGGCGTAACGTTTCAATAATCAGGATAATAATAATACAAGCTCATTTTTGATATACGAAATATTAGCGTTCTACATCGTCTGAAGTAATGTAATACAGTCACTGGTAATTAGAACTTTTCATGCTCAGTCTAATTCAACTGTCCTTTATTGAATGATCAAAGAAGTGTCTTCATCATACAACCTTTGAGGTTGCTTTTTTCTTACTTTCATGCAAGAGCAAAACGATTTATCAATAGGATATGTCCGTACACTAGTAATGCTGTGCAACGCGATATACTACATATATGTTCACTATGGAATGAAGGCAATCGCTATTTTCCAATATTTAAATCGAGGGATTTATAAGTCAGTTTTTTTTTTTTTTTAAGGAAATCTCACCAGTCACCCCTGTTACTCTTAATTTCGACACTAAACCATGCGGTTCCCGCATGTCTTTACCCGGAAGAGAGAGTGCTAGTACGGTTGAGTTGAAGTCGTCAAGTTTTTTGCGCACAAGATCAGTGGACCCAACTCCCCTCTTAATTATTTCAGTCGTTCACAACTCTCCCACGAGAGTTGACTTGTCATAGGACTGAAATTTCACTCTATGTGGACTTGCTAAGGACATTGCTTAAACTCCCAACTGACGTGGACGCTGCCCACACTTTAGATCGTGATTTGTGAAACGAATATTGAGACACTTGCGAACGTACACATTCTAAAGTATTCCGCTGTGGTTGCAAGACAAGAATATACATCTTGGGACCGTACATGCAGATGAGTAACCCAAACGAGGATACTAACGTTGTTGAACATGCCACTAGAGTCACATACCAGCTCTCAAAATTAAACACCACTGGGTAATATGCTAGCGACGATAGCAAGAGGATATACATGGAGAATCCAATGTACTTTGCTTCGTTAAAGTTCTCTGGGATGTCTCTGGCTTTGAAAGCGTAATAGGTGCAGAGGAGAGCTACGGTTGATGTGTAAGAGCAGACAGCGAGGAACAGCGAATAGCCGGTGTTAAAGCGGAAAGGTTTGCACACGAGAAAAATGTATTCGTCTGGACGTATGATTTTCTCGCGTCTTGGAGGATCAAACATCATCCACAACGCTATCAGAGATAAAGCGACTGAATTCATAAAGATGATCGTCATGGTCTGCCTTTGTATTGTCTTAAAACACGGTGTAAACAGTTCTGCTACTTTGTCTACCTGAAAGACACTCGTAATTCGCATCGTTTTTAAGAACAGTACTGTTACGCAAAGATTTAGTGCAAAATAACGCCCAACGTACACAACGTAGCACAATGCTTGACCCGGTTCTACCAGCTCAAGAACAGCCAGGGCAAAAAGTGTCATGATGCCAAAGAGCAACAGGAAACTCATTTCTCTACTAGATGCCTTTACGATTGGAGTATTATAGAATTTAAAGTAGATTAGTAGAGTAAGAAGTAAGAGGAGTACACCGATGGACGTTATCACAATGATACCAACTCCAGTGGCGCTGATCAGTGGGATATTGATGACTGTTAAATCTTCGCATTTTGAGCGCTTATCATTTGGTTTGGTATCCGGGTGACATTCTGTACAAGTGCTTGATCCATTTCCGGTGCTGATGGTTCCCTGTGGACATGTTATGCATTCCCAGCAACATGGTGTCGTGGGCGACTGCATGGTACCAGGTGAACATTCGCGTGCACAGAATGAGACTGGAATGGAAAGATTATGGAGAAGAGAACCCCAGCGCAAAGAAAGCTCATTTAAACGGAGCTTTGGGGTAGTTTCTTTGTCCCAATATCCCACCAAAACCTTTCTGTGAGGCGTTCCAATGGTTGATACACGTTGGAAATTGATGATGTCATACGAGGCGGACAAAGGATCTCCGGAACTGTCAAATTGAACTCTGCCAGTCACTCCGGGGAAACTTACATTCCGGAGGAACTTCTGGACGTCACTTCCTTTAACAAACGGTTGCACGGAAGGACAGTCAGCATCATTTGTTGTTGAACAGTTGTAGATACTGTTCAGGGCATATCCAAGGGCATATACCGCGTCAATGAGGTACGAAACAAATGAGCTTCGGATCTTGGTGACGGCATGATTCAAAGTGAGATTTGCATCACATGCTGGTATGTTAGAATCATTGAATTTCGTTCCTGAACAGTTGAAATGTGAACTCCAAAATTCTTCCCACCAAATCATCCCGCTTTCGACGCTCTTTGTAGGGGTAATCCTTTTAAGATGTTCTTCGAAAGAAGAATCTTGGTAATCTCGTGGTTGTATTCCTAGAGAACCATCCAACACAGGAAAACGAGGATCCAGAAACACTGCCTCTTCAGCAGTGAGTGCATCGCTTAGAATCAATGTTTTTCCTTGAAGGTTTTGATCACTTGCCTCTTTGAGGAATGCTCTGCCTTTGCCACCAGAAAGCCACACTATGATCACTCCAATACTGGACTTTTTTTTAATCCTTAAAACTGTTTGCTTTATTTTTTCCTGGAACTTCAGACGTGGAATAAACTCCGAAAAAGCAACGCAAAAGCTTTTTCTATCATAAGACTCTTGTTCCAAAGCCCAAATACCGTTGCGTCCATAGGAGTCATCTACGCCTACAGCAGCCACGTATGTCCAGTTGAAATGTTCAATGATGTCTGCCATGACTTTTGCCTGCCAGTTATCTGGTGGAACTGTTCTGAAGAAGTCATTGTACAATGGTGAGCTTAACTCCACGCTTGTTGCAGTTGGACTTATTGCAGGAATAGGAGCAACCTGAAGCAGACTCCCCACCAGCACTGCGCTGCCCGAATTGTACGGTCCAACTAGAGCTGAAATGGGCTTTGACGTAGTGATATTACCAGTGGATGAAAAGTTTAAGAAAGGCATACAGATTTGGTCGCTGGTGCGCACCAGACTATAGGTTATTTTCATGGCTAGAGCAGTCCTCTCGCAGTAATCTCGAATATCGTAACCAAGTGTGACGTTTGGAAGAAGACGTGGATTTTTGTTCACGCTTTCAATGGCAAATATCATTGCTTCAGCGTGTCCTAGTCCCATTGTAAAAAGGTCACCGCAATGATCCTCGGTTCCAGCGAAGTGAAGATTAAAAAGACCTCCCAAGATGACATCACCTTCCTTGTAAGCTCTCCTCTCATGATTGCAGGACGCAAAGGGCAGAAATAACACAGAAAGGTGACATACTTTAAGTATACTCAGGAGGTTAACACCAACTTTTCCGTTCCATCTTTTGCCCCTCATTGCTTCTAGAACTTGGATAATAACTGAATCTTTGCCTCTCGATTCTATAACTTTTCTGCAATGAGAAGCAAATCGCTACATAAGATCAGAAGTTCTTGTAGTTATCTTAGAGAGCTTTTCTACAAACCTTTTTCGGGTATCGAATTGCATGCAATATTAATCAGAACGAAACAACACGAGCTTTCTGAAGGCACTGAATAGCTCAAAAGCGTGGGTTTGATTCATTGTCATTCTTAACTAGAGGCGCTAAATGTTCCATAATACCGCGAAGACACGCTTTGTAAAAAGGTTTAAAGAAATACTATCCTATCGCTGTGGAAAGCAAGGAATTCTGAGTCTCAAATAACTGAATCTTTGCCGGCCGAGAAATCTAAGGAAAATCTGAATACGTCTGTTCATTATTAATTCTAACCAACAATTATCACTTTGGTAATTATGAAGAGTAGAATAATAAGCAATTACATTTGTGTGGATTGCAGTCATAGCAATATAATAATAAAATTTAAACAATTTCATAGATCTGTCGATTTGTGCGCGATCTTTTTAAAGGTGCGTGTATTCGACAATGAATTAGATCTGGGTATGATAAATATTTTTAAATTCTTTCCTTCGTAATGCTACCAAAAATTACATTTACCCTAAGTTGTCTTGTCGATGATGCCACACGGAAATTACTTACAATTTTCCGCGAGGTTATTTACTGTAAGCTGATTTCGAACATCTGAGCTAAATATACATGTAACATAGAATAATGTCAACTTTGATTGTTAAACCACGCCAACTAAGTACCAGTGCCCCCTACAGAGCTCAGAAGCTCAAATTACTTGGTGTGTGATTAGAATCCTTTGCAAACAACTTTGAACTCGACAGATCAGCCGCCTTTCGTCTTGGCTGAGATGACGTTTGGTTAAAAGTAAAAAAATTTCTCTTCAAGTTCTCTCTTCAAGGGGATAGCTAGTGAACGATAACCTGTAGAGGCTGGAGATGTGCGCGCATGCAAATCGTAACTCTCTAAAGATGTTTACGCGCTATCCTGTAGAACTCGATGAAGAATAATTCATGCCAACAATTTTGCGTTCCATAATTATTAAAATTTTTCTCCTACGACATTATCCATGTCTGATAAATTCATTTGTATTTTAACTTAATTTAACTTAATTTTAACTTAATTTTAACTTAATTTTCAACTTTATCTTTAGAAAAACCTGGCAACACTAACCGCAGCTACTATGACTTGCAGCTAGAACACCTCAAGGCACATTAAAAATTTTGACCGGCCTGTGTTTTTCTTTTACACCCAAATCCTTTGATTTCATTTAAAATGCTTTGATAGAATGATAGACATCTTCCGGCGAACACAATTTGTTTCTCGCTTTAATTCAGCTGCAGTTACACACTTTCCTTGAATCGATTGGTTATTTTGAAAATTTGATCCGCAAATATAATCCCTAGTTTATTTCTTTTTATGCAAATTTCCTCATGTTGTTTAATCATTTCAAGTAAAGAAGAGCCTACATTACGTACGGTTTCTAATAAAACTGAGATCTAGCGAGTTTCGTCTGAAAGAAAGACCCCTTCAAGACCCGAAATGGCCGTTTTAGCGGAGTGTATTGTACAAGTGTTGAGATGAACAAGAAAAAAGTCAACAAATAAGAATGAATTGATGACTGTCAACAAAAGTATCAGTAAAAAAAGAAAAAATACAAAACGAAAGAAAACAAGAAAAACAGACTTACTCCAGGCCGATTCTTTTTTATATCTAAAGAAGCCCTCTTTCAATCAAACGATCTGGATTACCAAAACCTTTCCCAACTTAAATCAAACTCACAATCAAAGGCGGCCTTCTATCAAACTCTTCCCTTCATCTTCGAACAAATCAAATCGGCAAAGCCGTGAAATATTTCTTTCGTTCCTGTTACCGGCGTGATACCTATTCCCAGTTGGACTTTTTATGTCAATTATATTTTTTATGCTCAGCCTTTCGTAAATGGTCGAAATGGTCATTGATTGCAACCGAAATGGTCATTGATGCCTGTGGTGAAGTTGGGTGAGTAAATCCATTGGATAAGCGGAAAATATTTGGTTTACAACGCTGCAAAGTTTACCTCACCCATGTGAAATTGTCTTTTTAGACAAATGTTTTCTACATTTATGCGCTGGAGATGTCGCTCACAGGCTACTGAGGAATATTATTTGATCTTTCAGACTTTCCCCATCGGGGAATGAGTAAAGCCTGATTTTCGGCTGTCTGCATTTCCTTGAGTAGTATGCAAGAGCCAGTAAGACTCCTAAAAACAATTTCCTCTCTTCAGTGAGCTAGTAGTGCCTATTAGACTTCTTTACCTTCTCTGTCATCATTTAAATTGAAATCGAGTGTAATCTCTTGTGGACGAAACGTTCACAATTATACCTTAAAATCAACCGGCCATTTAGCACAGCGACAAACCCTCCTCACTGTGGAAGCTAACTGTGAAGTTGCGTGATGTACTTTCTGTTACTACAAGTTTTCAATTTTATGGAACTTGCCCCGCCGTGTGAGTGTTTAAAACTTCTGAGTAAACTACCACGGGTTGGATACTGGTTTCTTTTAAGCAATAACTTGAATTGGATTTCGGTAATCACAATTGGACACAAAACCAGGATCAAAACAAACGAAGCTTACCTTCCTTTTATAATGGAGGTAAATGGCGAGTCGGCGCACTTTCAATCAAGTCTGTTTCGGCTTCTACTTCAGTTTAGCCCTCGTTGATCTCAGCTGTAAGCGGAGGTGTTGTTTAATCCTCGATGTAACTTAAGTAATGAGTGATAGTTTTACTCTGTCATAGCGAGAACATTCGAAGGTAATTGCCTCTTCTTCTAAGCGTTATTTAGAATGCAAATAGATAGGCGGATGGGATAAGGAAGAAAAACAGCTGTGAATACCTCCTTGTCTTCTTGGCATTCATATAACTTACTTTTTCCAGTTCGCGGTTTTCACTGTGATACAATGATATACCTGAATTATTGTGCTGGCAGTATCGTGAAAACACCATACACTGAGTCCGCTCCTCGTTAACAACTTTATTGACAGGCCTTAATCTTTTCAATCTGAATCTGACTGCGGCAATATACATTCGGCCGCCTAAAGATATTGATAAATCGTTTTCTTTATTAACATCATGGTATTTACGTAATTCAGCTCGCCCGTTGCTGAAGCATTAAAATGAATTTTCTATATTTGACGTTTGTCTCGAATATCATTGATAGATACAGTTTTTCTATACCACCTACCTTTTCTTACGTGGTTTCCAGCGGCGTATATTTTGTTCGGTGAAGCAAGCCGAAAAGGTTACGGTTCCCTTAGTTCCCTACTAAAGTAGCAGATGTTTAGGTACAAATATTCCTGGCGGCGCCCTCCTAAAACACTTGAATTTTCTCCACACTGTAAACATCGTAACAAGTATTGTCGTTTTTTCTTTCGTAATTTGTCGGAAGGTGAAGGAAAGGGTTTTTGTTGTTGCGAGCATATATGTATAAACCGAAAAAATATTCAGATCAGTCAATTTTTCTTAATTTTTCCTTAAAAAAGCCGGCTAATTGTACATGTAATAAATTTGCAAGTTATCTGAGAACACGTTGCTTGCGTGAGATTTGCGTTGTGATTGCATGTTTCGTATTCAGACTAATACCCTTGCCACCAAGAACTTGTTATTTTTACACGTTCATTTGTTTACGACAAAGTAGGTGCTCACGTTCTAACAAAGGGCCGAGCGCATATCCAATGGCAATTTTTAAAGGAATCTTTCTGGTTTTTATGTAACTATAACTTGGAAAACAACCATATGCATAATTTTGGATTTATTGACTTGGTAAAAGGAAAAATAATTTTCTTATGAAAGCCGAACAATGGATGTATGCTTGTTTACCCTCTTACGACGTCATGGCCATTTATTGAGCTTTGCTCTGTTTAAAACAAGCACGGTTTTTTCAGTTTGTTTTTAAAACTCACATAAATATGGCGCTTTACACCTGATAATCGCGTCAAAAATTTGTTTTTCACCCTAACCAATTTACTTAGTTCCGGAAAAGAAAAATACCCATTTAATTACCAAAGGTTTCCTTTTTGCAAAGAGTGCCGAGTTGTTTTTAAAGTTGTCAGCTTTTTGCATTCATGTGACCTAAAGATGTCGCCTTAAGTCTGCCATCATTGTCGACGAATCAAAAATGCAAATGAAAATTAAATTACACTGAATTTTCGCACTAATCTATTGAAGAAAAGTTTTTCTTTTATGTCATTCGCCCAGCACGGAGAGTCAAGCTGGAATCACCATCAATCATTATCGATAGCTATTTGACTAAAAACTGTTGCAGGAACAATGCAGTTGAGTATCTGTTGCAAAGTTAATCAACGTACCCCAGTCCACTTGTTTTTTATTGAACTTCACAACTGACATTTTCCTGACGTGCATTGATCTAGTGACATATCGGTACATGTAAGAGGAACCGGCGAAAAAAACAAAGAACAAAAGAAATTAAAAAAAGAGAACAATTTTTTTAATGACATGACCTTCGAAAAACGAACGATCGTTGAAATACGACGCTATCAACAATTTAAAACGTTTCGTGTGATCTAGACTTAAATTTAAAAATCTGGCAAGTGTTCTTAAAAAGAAGCGCATTTCATCCATAATAATTCTTCTGCCTCCTGATCAGGTGTTGGAATGGGAACGAATCCAATAGAAAATGTGCGGGGAGGGGAGGGGGAGGCTAGTTACCAGTTCCTCTGGTTATCATCCATCCTACAAGGCCACACTCTTCATTGCTTTGATTGACGAAACCATGATCAGAGTTGATAAAATCATTGGAATGTCTGCAAGTTTTGTGATCTACCTTGCGTTCAACCATCGTAAAAAAATCGCGAGCCCAGTTTACGCTCAGACAATATCCCAAAATCCTGGTCGAGTTATTCTAATGTGTTTTTGGACAAGACGTTTTTCTACCACAGTGTCCATCTCAAATGACAGTGGTTATTTGCCGTTGCCGGTTTTCCATTCGGAAGGATCAGTAATAGTCTTACACATATCTATATTTTTTAGTTATTTTTAAAAAAAAAAAAACTATATGTTAGCGTATAGATTGGTGTATTTTGGTGTAGTGTAATGTGATCAGCGCAATTTGGTGTATCTCTTAGCATGCTGATTGGCGCACCTTTTTTTGGTGTATCTCAAAGCAATGTGATTGGCGCAGTTTTTGGTGTATCACAAACCAATCAGATTGTAGTATTTTTCGATGTCGCTCCAATCAGAGCGTTCTTGCTAATTTGTGGTTTGACAGGTCTTCAAATTTCAGCGAATCAAAGCGTGACTCGGTGAGAGCGGTTCGCGAATTAAGGAAATATATCAGTCGTGTTGGGAAAGCAGCGGAGTTGAGATCGATGTACCATTATGGTTATTCTTCGTTCTAAAGGAGACTGAGTGGAACACGAGAAAAATTTTGAATCAAATATTGCTTGAGATGTTGATAGGAGCAACTTCAGAATACCCGGCCGCTATTGACTGTTTTGAATGGATTGCTCGCGCGGTCCCGATGTCGAAAAATAATATTAAAAGAGAGGACATTTGGACAAGTGGTCCCGCATTCAAGCTTTCCTGAAGTCGAAGAATGATGAAATGATATGACCGTTAAACTAGTGCATCCGCAGTCCCGCGCTCACGAAGTCGAATAATGATATCACGAGAGGGCCGTTAAACTAGTGTTCCCGTAATTCCGCACTGTTGAAGTCGAAGAATAATTAAAGAAAAGGTGAAGTTTACCAAGTGTTGACACAGTCCCGCGCTTACTTTATGTCGTTTTCTCGACTGAGGGATATTTCATTGCTATACATGAATTCAATTTTTAATTTCGCTGAAAGAACGAGGTAAGAATGACATCTATAAGAATTGTGAGCTCATCTACCTAGTATAATGGCTGTCCTTCGTGAGGACGTTATCGTTATGACCCAGCTGTCGGGATTAGAAAGGTCGTCAGGAAATTTTGTGTACAAATTACAAGTTAAAACGTGCATGTTTGTGTACCGCTCTTTCACTTATAACGCACACACCGTCAGCTAAGGGCCTGACATGAATTTAGCACCAGAGCGTGTTGTTTTGGAAGGGCTAGTTTTGCTGACTCTGGTAAAACTTGCGCAAGTCATTTGCATAAATTCTATTTGATTGATGATCTTGTTTTTTGCCCAGTGGCTGCTCCCTTTGTAAAGGTTGAAAAGACCAGCAAGTTTTATTCACTTTCTGTGTCGACTGTCATGTTAAATATCGTTTCTTTGCGTTTAAAAGTTCTCCGTGAATGAAATATTATTTAAACGATACTTTCCCGCTGCAACTGCATGTTTACTTTTTACTCGCCAGCATGGACTAGACTTTCTCAGATGAAATGCCATTTTCCAGTAACCAACGTAAATTTTATGACATAATTCTGCCTCACTGAAAAACTTCTCAAGGAACATAATGGTACAGTCGGTCAATTTTCCACGCAACTCTCACGTGCTTAGACGTTTTCTACCAATTAAATTTTGTTTTAGCTACCTTAGACTTTGCCCCATTGCGTGTCAACTCGCTGTAAACAATCTGCATTTTATCACGTATTTCGCACGCACAGGGCAAAGTTCAGATAGGTAACAACCAATTAAGAAGCCCACGTTGTTATGCTTTGAAAAACGACACTTTTCTTCGTTCAGTCCATTTCCAATTGCTCGAAGAACGGAGACCGGAAAACATCTTTTTCCAGAGGCTATTGGAGATAAAATAGAGCGTTCCACTGCAAAATTATATGGAAGAATATTTTGAGGCAACAATCTGCTACTAAACAAGAGGCTACACGGTGCCTATATTCTGGCCGGACTTGGGGTTCAGCGGATTGAAATGAACTGGTTCGAATTGAAGGCGTTGCCGTTTAGCAAAATCACTGTCGAGTGCTTTTCATTATTTGTTAACATGGAGAGTTCTTGAGATTAAGACTGGAACAAGTTGATGCCATCCATGACAATTTGGAAACACTAAAATCGTGAGAGGAAATGTGGGGTCGCTCAATAAAAATTTGCTTTTGAAAGCGGCGATGACTTTGTTTATAAGGATTTCTCCTGCTTACATCTAAGGCCCTGTTTACAAGCAAGGAGGGTAACCCTTGTGCTAGGGTTACCCTAGCAGGCGGGTCAAAGATAGCCCGGGTTTACAAGCAAAATTTCACAGGTAGGGTTACCCTACCACCCAGGACAACTTACCTATGCTTGGTAACCGCACGCATCGTTATCAAAGTTCAAAGGGTCTGGAAACAAGTAAAAAGTTGTCCCGGGTAGGCGAGTTATCCCCAGCAGAGCGTTTACAAGGCAGCTAGGGTTACCCTGGCGCTAGGGTAACCCTAGCGCTCAGCTAAGGTTACCAAAGTACTAGGGTAACCTAGTGCTATGGTAACCTTAGTACTATGGTAACCTTAGTACTAGGGTAACCTTAGTACTAGGGTAACCCTAGCTGCCTTGTAAACACGTCGATGAAAAAAA